GCATAATTAAATTTCTCACAGGCTCTTTGTGAGGGTGAAGAGGCAACATTGTCAGAAAGGTTTTGTCCCTTGAAAGCCTTATGTGCTGAATCCAAAGCCTATCTGTATGTCTAATCCACCTCCCTACAAGGGGACTAGAATTTCAAAACCAGATTTGACCTTCTCAAGAGTCCCTTCTATGACAGCGGCCTAAATGATGGTCTCAGACTGCAGGTTGGCAGGCAAAAGATTTTATTATAAAAAAACTTGTTCTTTTTATCTAGTTTTCCTCTGTCCACGCGCTAATATAATATGTCATTGGTTAAGTGTTCTTGTTCACACGTCTGTATCTCATCACTAATTGGTTTCTAGCATCTATGCACGCACCACATCCTGTCTCCTGACACGTCACCGGCATCTCTTCTCATGTCCAAACACATTCCTCTATCTGCAGCTGTTTTTCTTCTCTTTCTCACACTTTCTTCCTTAATGAGGTTTTACTTGTTCCTTTGCCAGGCCGCACCTGTAGCTCAAGGTCAAAGTTGCCTTACTACAATTCCTCCTTTTTGTTTTTAAATTGAAAAATAAGGCCTGGGAGAAACTCTGACCTATTACTTGTTGAACACAAGATATCAAACAGGGGATACACAATAAAGGCACAAAACTTCAAATAATGTTACAATGACTATCTTCCCAAATTTAGCACTAACATTAAAAATGTTTAACCTATCAAAAAAGACTATCAAACATTTGTTAGATATAGAAAGGTAAAAAAGGAACAAATGCAAAAAGAAATAACTTTAAACAATATCAAACCAAATAACCAATACGAAACATGTTTAGTTAGCTTAAACAAATTACTTAATTTATTCTCATTATTCTCTATCAGAAATTAACTTTATTTCAGTTATTGTTTCAACACTTTACCAGAACCAACCTATAAACAAATGGCCTTGAACCAAACTTAACAACTTGATGACCTCAGGGTTTGTGCTCCTTAACTTTTGTTTAAAGGTGTTTCTAATATAGGGTTTGTTCTTGAGAGCTTTTATTCAATCTAAAAATACTTCTGTAAATGGAACTTCATTCAATTTAGGGTTATGTGTTTTCTGTTTTTATTTTAAGGGTGTTTGTGTATTTGTGAGCAAACCCAAAACATACACACATACAAACTCTCACAGTGGCCACTGTCAAACATACTTTCATACAGACATACTTCTGAGTTTCATGTCACTGTGTTTTATGAACTAAGAAATTATCATTCTTGTGTTTTGCCCTCAGATGACTAAGATCTAATTATGCATTTCTGTTTTATGAAAATATAACTTGTAAAATACAAACATATTTCTGTTTCATGTTCAATTCCAAACTCAAATACATACAAACATTTCTATAGTTCAAAGATAAATATATACTCTTTCTATTTCTAAAGCAAAACACACACTTCCCCATGTTAATGGGCTTTTGGACTTCAAAGAGAACCTGTTAGTCACTACAAAATACTTCAAAAACTCTACTTCTCCACTACGTTTATGCATATATCTTAAAACAGTTTTGGCTATTTAGATAAACAACTTCAAAAACCAGTTAGTAAGACCCTCTCATGAACCTGTCTTTCCTCACTTCCCCCCTTTTCTTTTCTTTCTTCGCAGCTGGAGGTTGAGGGTGAGAGAAAAAGGGTTGTTGTGTTGTCTCTCCGCTGTCAGTGTTCATGCCCTGAAAATGAACTGTTAGGTTAGTTGTTACATGAATAATAAGCTTTGCTTTCGTTGCTGTTGACTTTGAGCTTAGTGTTCCATGTATGGACAACTTTCATTCCACTGTTCTTTAAGTATGAGTTATTTGCTTTTTATATAATTTGTTTGTGACATCTCCTTGGGTAGGTGTGACCAGCACCACTCAGTCAGTGGCCTTCAGCCTCTCCATCGTCATGTAAGTGGTACTTCTTTTGCACTTGTGTGTTGTATCTCAAGGGTCTTTCTTAACATCATCCTTTTTGTCACTTTCTCTTCCAAATGCTTTTGGAAGGCTGTCAACTAATAGTAAAATACTAATTAATCTCAAATTATACAAGATGTTTGTTTCAGGGACAAAGTTTTTGTCTATCAGCACTTGCTTTAGGCTAAACACAGACTAAAGTAGCTGTATCTAATTAAGCACAAATACATTCTATGGCATGATCTGTGGTTGGACCATGCCACTGTTGAACAACTTAAGCAGCATATTGATGAAAACAAAGAAAACAACCTAAAACATCCACAACAAATGAGTAATAGTAAAAGCGTAGACAATAATATCTTTGTAATCGTATCCATCTTTAGTGAAGGGATCGGAATAAATTCCAGCTGTTCTTGCTTCGTTGGGTCAGCTAGGGTCACCTGCATGCTATGCTTTTGTTGTAGGTAATCATAATCTTTTTGCAGTCAGCATACAGGGGTCAGCATCCCACTTGTGAACGTAGACTTAATCTCCAAGTTGGAATAGATGAACAGAAGTGTTTAATCTCACGGGTTCGGACAGAATGAATCTGTGGAATTTCTGCAAAGTAGAGCTTAATTTTCATAAAAGAATTTCAAATTTCAGAATTTTTGTAACTTGGCTGTAGCAGAGGAATTCAGGTTTTATAGTACAAAGTGGTTGGTTGTCAGTTATTAATAAAAGGCTGCAGAGAATCATGTAGGACAAAGCAGGTAGCACACTATAACTTGGCACCAGGCACTGACACTGCTTGTGTTAAATGTTCAGAGCTTGTGTGCTGTGAAAAACCCAAGAATATTCACTGGACACATACAGAGTATGTGTCAACTGGAAGACTTATTTCTTATGTTTATGTGGCTTTCATTAATGTAATAGTAAATGTTCTATATTTAAGTATAACATAAGAGCATAAAGAAAAGTATCCAGGACATGATCAAAATTCACTCAACTAAGGTATTCAGTAAAGCAATGTATGAGTTAGACAAAACATTTAAACAACTTGAACAAACCAACATGCTATGATGTTAGCAGACTATTAAAAGATTGCAGGCATGATGCGAGCTAGGGCCTATGGGGGAACTAGCCGCTTTCTTTGCTTTTTAACACAAGGCTTTTCTTCTGTGAGGTTCAGCACTTCATGCATTGTTATTTATAATCTTGTGTGGACTTGTAAACTAAGAGGTTTCTTTCATATGTTGCAGCAGTTAAAGAGGAGAGAGAGATATTCTAAAGAATTCTTGCCACTTGCTATAAAACTACTGGGATAAAATACATATAAATAATATTAATTTTCATGAAAGACAATAGAAATATAATACCAATAACTATAGTATTGTCTCATAATTTTACGGTATTATTCAAACTATACTAGCAATCCATTCTTTTACAGTTTTCCTAGTTTGGATATTATGAAGTAAAGTCGCTGAAGATATCTCTAAAGCCAGTGAGATATCTTCAAAAGTCATTTGATATAGAATTTGGAGTTTGTTTTCAAATTCCAGTTAAATTCATAATACAAATTTAATCATGTTATAACCTTCTATACTGGAGACAAATGCAAGTTTTGATTCTAACTCTGATTCTTGCTTACCAACAATATAACACTACATACAGAAAGAATAAGTTAAAACACATTGTTGGTGACAGAGACTTTCTTAACTCTGGAATAGTAGGTCCAGGGATCTATTAGGGCAAGAGGCCTGCTATACAAGAAAGAAAAAACCAATGCATTTTGTTCTTCATACGTGGCCTGCACTGAATGGCTAATGCATGGCTGTAGTTGCTGCTCTGATTAATAGAAAGATGATAAAAGCAATTACAACAGTTTCTCTAATTTACTGTATCTTGCATCATCTTCTCAGTCTTGGGCTAGGCTCACGGGGAGCTACAGTTTGGTTCTTCTGTTTATGAGAACTACTAATGATAGATTGAGAATGGATACTTTTTCATTTGTGATACAACCAAATGAGTAAGGATCACCTGAAGGGATATTAAAGGTATTGTTAGTCACACTAATCACAACATCAGGTGCATCTCAGGTCTTTCAATACAGACCATATATTTCTCGCACTTGGGATCAAATTAAAGATTTTGTTTGGTTTTCTCTCTTTTTCCTTTTCAAAATTATAATCAATATTATCTCAGTAAGAAATTAAAAATATAACCATAAAGGTCTTTCTTTTCAAAGCACTGTAAAAATGTTGTCTGCTATTTCAAGAGGGAAGGAAAAATTAATTACTTAAAAGTTAATTTACTTATTTTCCAATATATTTGGTGTGTTTGAGTCTATAACAGTGAAAAAATACTGTTTGATTATTTTTTTTCCATACTCAGCCTCAAGCTACATGTGCAATTCAGAAGGATGGAGAAGGCCAGATTCCAGCTTACAGCTGGTTCCTTAGATGTGATCTACATTATTTGCTTGTATTTTCAGTCCTTTTGTTTATGAAATTCTAGTAAGAGAACAAAATTCACAACATAAGTAGTACAAAGGAGAACAAATAACTGGTTGTAAGATCATGTAAAAATCAGCTGAGTAAACTTTTTAAACAGAATTCTAAAGATGTGATCAGTGTAATGCTAACTCTGGGTGAGGCCCCTGGCTTCAACCACTCGTATTCACAGCACTAACTGTGGGGGTGTTTCAAGAAGACAGTTCCCCCATCCCTGCAGACTGACGGTCTAGAGAAGCACTGAGCAAATGTAGCAGCAAAAATACAAGGGCAGTCACAGTTGCTTTCTTTTCTCAACCACTTACATGCATGGTTTCTGCGGGGCAACTCCCCTGCAAGCCGGTCCCTCACTAATTCCTAAACTGCAGAGCTAAGGAGCTAAAGAGGGAAACGAGAACTATGGAAAGGTGTGTACTTTTTGTTTTAAATACCTAGTCCCCAATAGTAACAGAAAAAGGAAAGAAGACTTGTTTTCCTCTCTCACTGCAGCCTCTGCTGCTGTTCTTGCTCGCTCTCCCCTCCCCCCTCACGGGGAGGTAGGCAGCGAGATCCTGCTGAAGCTATGTTTAGTTTCTTTTCTCGCTGCTGCAGCCCCCGCCGAGCCCCCCACAGCTTTACCACGGCAGCTTGGTGCCCGGTCCCGGAGCGCGGCAGCGCACCCAGCACACCGTGGGGCCCTGGGGGACTCCCACAAGAGCTCGGCTGGCTCCACAGAAGCAGCTCTTGGCCCTGCCGCCTGCTCTGCCGCCGCCTCTGCCGCCAGGGTTCCTCCGCCGCGGCTGGCGGTGCCTCTCTCTGCCCGGCCCGTCATGGCGGCGGTCCCAGCGCACAGCCCCCGGCCCCGGCCCCGGCGTGCCGGACTCAGGCGGCAGTTTGAACAATCTCAAAGGCAATTCCTATGTTCTTGTGTCCATCTGAGACACCTCTCCTGGACCCTCGTCCCTGGGTTTTAACAGTTACTAACAAACCCATGGTTGCTTTTCCACACACACGCACAGCCCCCAACACACACACACACACACACACACACAGACTAGCACGGTACCGTTAGTAACACTGTGAGCTTACAACGACACATTGGACAGATAACAGAGTTAACATGAGAGTTAACAGAAATGCAGGAAGGCAGCGTTCTAGCCTGTGTCCCCCCCCCCCCCTCCCCGCCCCCCCCAACAAGAAGTGGTACTTTTCCCTGGGTTGCTCCATTCCTGTTTCCCCCTGGAGCCTCTCCTGTTTTTTTCTTGCACCGCTGCTGCCAGGCTGCTCTCCTGCCAGCTCTCAAGACCTTTTGCTTTATTCACAGGGCGCTGCTTCGCTGCGCTTTGCCACGCCATGCGCTCCATTCTCCATCAGGGCGACTACACGGCCGAAAAGTCTTGTATTAGCGGCGGAGGGGAGAGGGGTGGCCTTTCTCCCTTTACTGTCTCTGGGGCTGATTTGCTAGGTTTTTCTTCATTTTCTGGCTTGAAGGGTGATGATGTTTTAGAAGCGTGATCTTTTAAAGTTTGAAAGACAGTTCACCAGAGTTTCAGGACGCTGGCAGCCTGCTTAAGAGACTCAGTGCCTGCATTGCCTGCATTAAAATCGCTCTCCCCTCAGAGTCCCAAATGTCTATACAAAATGCTGTCTGAGCACCTACGCATTTCTTTTGCACCAACTATGTAAGGTGCAGAGCGCACGTTTCTGATATCGCAAACCGTGCTTCTCTAGTATCTCTGTTAGCACTGTGACAACAGATTCCTCCTCCACGGATATCTGCACTCCCATTAGTTTTGTTCTCCAACGGCTCACCTTCTTTCCAGGTGCCTGTAAATAATTAGGTCCGGACTTTCGGCTCTCAGGTCCACCAACAAATGTTGGAGCGCCACCGCCACCACTCTCAGGTCCGTGGTTGTTATTGCAATAAATCACGTCAGGGTCACCAATTGACGGCGGCTTAAATGATGGTCTCAGACTGCAGGTTGGCAGGCAAAAGATTTTATTATAAAAAAACTTGTTCTTTTTATCTAGTTTTCCTCTGTCCACGCGCTAATATAATATGTCATTGGTTAAGTGTTCTTGTTCACACGTCTGTATCTCATCACTAATTGGTTTCTAGTGTCTATGCACACACCACATCCTGTCTCCTGACACGTCACCGGCATCTCTTCTTATGTCCAAACACATTCCTCTACCTGCAGCTGTTTTTCTTCTCTTTCTCACACTTTCTTCCTTAATGAGGTTTTACTTGTTCCTTTGCTAGGCCGCAGCTGTAGCTCAAGGTCAAAGTTGCCTTACTACATTTCTACCTCCTTCATTTTCATGTCCCTTCAGAAACCCATCCCTACATGCCGGCAGGATTAATCACCCCAAAATGATCAACTGTGAAAAGCCTGTGAAGCAGATTTTATCTGAGAAATTATTACCATATTCATAAAGTAGCAGCTCTGTGGATTAGTGAGTCGAGTACTCAAAAGCTGTCACAGATCTTTTCTGCCTTTTCTCAGCTATGCTCTGAAAAAGTGTGTAAAGTTCCATACACTGATGCCCAAATATTTTCTGCTTTCTGTATTATGTATCTTTATTTGCTGTATTCAAATTCCCAGTGCACTGGAAAATTAAAAGATGACCATAAAAAACAAGTCTCTGAGAAAAATAAGAAGTCCCATTCTCATATATGACAGTTTTGTAAATGTACACATTTAAATGTCTATTTCAAAATCACTTTGAATTGTAAAGTTTCAGAAGCATTAGGAATAAAATGATTCAATTTTATTTAGTAGGAATTTCATTTATTGGTTTGAAAAGTGAGTTGAAATTGCTTGGAGCTGCCTTCTTAAATAACTTTCAGACTGAACGTGTACATTTTGCATGCAAATAAGATAGAGACTGTGACTACAAATAGCTATACTTAATTTGAATATACAAAAATAGTATTTGCATATGTGAACTTTACTAGAGGACAAGTAAGAGAGTTTTATAAACAAGCTTGAGTTTTCTAATCTTCTGCAGGATGACAGGAATATTTACCAAATTAAAGACACACAGGAGTATCAGGAAATTAAATTTAGAAACTGATGGAGAGAAAATAAGGAAAATAATCAAATTATAATCCAATATATTGTCATAATTCAGCATTCAATCAGAATGTACTTGATTCACAAGCACAAATAATAACAATAAACATAACACAACTTACATTAGACAAATATTTGGGAATGGCAAGTTAGTAGACCTTGCTTTCCTTCATATACAGTCCTTGATTTTTTACTGAGTCTCCTAAAGTTCTGTGCCCTGGTTCTGTGTCTGGATGGAGTCCAAATTCCATTCCTGCTACCAGAGGAAATCTGGAAGTTAAGAAGACCAGTACTGGATAGGAAAAAGTAATAAATCAAATTAACGAACCATTCAGAACAATGCAGTAAGGGGCAGACTCGGAGCAAAAAAGACATTACTCTTAAAATAAGATTAATGATCATACTTGCATCAAATATCCTAATATTATAAGGATATTTGAATCAGCAGCTGTTACTTCTTTTTGCCAGCAGTCCAGAACTGATCATCTGTGTTAAGGCACTACCAAATGAAAGGTGTCTACATTTTTATCCCGCTGTTTATATAGTACTATATAGCATTATACAGTAATAATATTATATATATTTATTATAGAAAAGTAATCATCATACTTTCTAAAAGTATATTACAAGTTTTGTGATACCATTTTCAGCATTAAGTGAAACTGTATGAAACATTTTCTATATCTAAGACTACTAATATTTTTTATACATAGGTAGAACAGACTGGATGATCACTCTACAGACTTTCCATCAAAAGCTGAGTACCTGTAAAACTCCTTTAAAAAATCTTCCAATATTTGTTTCACTGGATTTTTTAGTACTAGTGGTAGATCTAGAACAGGGAAGATAACAGAAAGAACAATCCATAGTAAAATCTTCTGCAGGGTATACTCAGTTTAAACACAGGGTATATACAAAATGAAAACAGAAAATAATGACATTTCTAGTAAGATTTTTCTTACATAAACATTTGACTAAATAATACATTATCATGTTGAAAGATCTGAAGTTAGCTGTGGTTTCAGTTTATTCTAAACAAGAGGCAATGTGTATTAAAAAGTTGTTCAAATAATAATGATGTAGGAGTCAATACTGCAAATATGTATACACATATTTAATTTTATGTGCAGTAAACAGTCTTAGAAAATTAGGCAAAGACCTTGACTTAATGACTTGTATATTTAAAGGTTATGTTCCTTGTTGTTCTAAAATATTGCATACATGGGTAGAAGGAGAAGCTGAATCTCAATCACAATGCCTTCTACAATAAAGAGTATAGAGTAATTAGCTAAGAAGAGGTAAGTGGAGATAGCAATACCATCAAAACTGATTGTATATGAAGACTTGTTAAACTTTCACTTTTTAAATAGTTTGGTAGCATTTTGGTTTAAAGCATATTTGGCAAAGCTAATTGCTCTGCCGATTCACTTCAAGATATGTGGCAAATTTGTTCTCAAACTGCTCATACTGAGGAATGGGACTAATCAGGAATATCTTGCTTTCAAGACTAGAACCAAGATTTCACTCAAGCTATTTTGTCTCATTACAGTATCCTGTACTTTAACACAGTATCATTATTCACTCCGACCCTATTTGCCATACAAGGACAATAAGCAAGCAGATAGCTTATGTGTTTAGTTAACATGCTGATATATTCAGTATATGTATTGATACATGAAGCATTAAGATTTACTTTTAATTTTTGTTCTGCTAATTTTAAGTTCCTAATTTCTTCAGAGATTTCTTTTCTTTTAATATAACTATATTTGAATGCTTCCTTTTGTGTTACAACTCCCTGACTTCTGGATTTGCTCTTATTCAGATATTTTGGAAGGACTACTCCAAACAAAATAATTAAGATACATTTCTAAGGTTAAATATTAATATATTCAGAAGATTCTGTGTTTCCAAAAGCATTTTAAATGATGATTTGAAGTAGCTACTGCTACATCATCAGCATAAGCAGTTTCTAGTATTGCACTGGCCATAGAATTTCCTAGACCGCTTTCTGCTCCCAGAGCATTTATACAACCATCTAGTTCTCTCTCAGCTGGGCAAAGAACTACTTCCAAAAGATGCTGAATAATAAGATTTCCAATATACTTATTTACAACAAACATTCTTTAACTCTAGAAACCTGTTTCAAAAAGCAGATTTGTTTTAAGTTTCAGCAGAAAATCATGAAAAATATGGATTATCCCTTCAGTCCTATAAATCTCAATAAACATATAAAGCATCATTAGTTTTGTCCTTAATTAATACCAACACTTCTGAAGCCACCTAGCCTACACTCTATGCCCACATTTATGAGAAGTTTATCATTACCAACAAAGCTACAAAATACATCACTCAAGTTTATCCAAGCAGAGGAAATTACAGTCTAGCATTTCTTCTTACTGTATCTGGTATAAATGATTTGCAGATAAAAATAGTGGACAGTAGAAGTGATCGAAACCTGCTGTAAGATGATAAACCCAAGACATTCCCACAAGAGTAATAAATACACTTCTATCCATTGTTGTACTTGGGAAAAAAGCTTGATTGGACAGCAAGAGACTACTCTGCAGTTAAATGAACTAGAGGAGTTTGTTCTCATGCAGAGAATCTGCAACACAAAGTATATCTGGGATTTTATTTGTGAGCTTTGAAAAGTCAAAATTACTTTTTATTTGATGTTGCCTCTTCAAAAGGAAGATAAAAGGATTCAAATTACGATAATAAATCTTAGAAGAAAATTGAGAATAATTTAGAAAAAACTTGAGGATATATGAAAACAGCTGATAACCATGTGCATCAAACCAACAGATTGTAACCTGATGCTTAAATCTGCTTTAGAACCATCATTACGCATGAGCATTTCCTGAGCAATTTTCTTAACTATTCTCCCAATGAAATGTTCAAAACAAATTCACCTGGGGTCAACAACAGAAATATTTCTGTGGGTTTAAGATCAGGAACTGTAAACAACTCCACAGCCAATCTAACAGTCTTAAAGTTTTACTGTAATGCTTGCTGGGTTTTAGCATCTCTTGTGAATACTAACGATCTAATTAAAATTGTCTTGTGTTCTCCAGAGTTCCCTCAGGAGCAGAGAATATAACAGAGGCCATGCTAGTACAGCAGGTCAAAGACTGCTTTATGGGAATGTACCTGTGGTTCAGTGCTGCATATCAGATAAAATAGGTCATTTAAATGTACTATTATGTAAGAAATATTCACAGTAAGAATGCACAATGCAGCTCAAGAGCAGTAACCACCTAGGCGATATAAGTATAAAGGTCTAGGGATTGGGGTATGTATTAATGATACATAACTATAATAAAGAAAATCCTTATGAATGGTGATCTTTCAATGAGAATGCCCCAAAATACATAAAACAGAATGTTATTAGATGATGCAGTCTTTCACTCTGCCATTGTTTCTAACTGTTGAATGAATGTCAAGAATAAATTAATTCATATTAATTCATATACCATTCACGTAAATCCTATGCCACATAATTCATATACTCTTACCAACACATTCTCTCAAGAATTCAGCAAGTAACACACAGAGATGTCAAGGGTACTGGTTTTTTACCATAAGCAGATAAAGTAATATTTTAGAATCAAACTGCATAAATTACAAGATTTCCAAATCCCATTTTCATAGTTCAGCTTAAAACTAAGTTTGATAGTGTGATGTTGGCTGAGCAATCACAAACTATATAAAGTTTACCAAGGGCAAGTGCCAGATTCTGCACCTTCCATGGCAACCCTGGATGTATCTACAGATTGGAGAATGAGATGCTGGAAAGCATGTGCTGTGGAAAGGGACCTGGGGGTCCTGGTCGATGGCAGGTTGAATATGAGCAGTGAGTGCCCTGGCAGGCAGGAGGGCCAACCGTGTCCTGGGGGGCATCAGGCAAAGCATCGCCAGCCGTATGAGGGAGGGGATTGTCCTGCTCTGCTCTGCATTAGGGCAGTCTCACCTTGAATACTGTGTACAGTTTTGGGCACCACAATATAAGAAAGGTATTAAGCTCTCAGAGAGTGTCCAAAGGAGGGCAACAAAGATCGTGAAGAGCCTTGAGGGGAAGCCATATGAGGAGCGGCTGAGGTCACTTGGTGTGTTCAGCCTGGAGAAGAGGAGACTGAGGGGAACCTCATCATGGTCTATGAGGGGAAGCAAAGGGGCAGGCACTCTTGTGACCAGTGACAGAACTCTAGGGAATGGCAAGAAGCTGTGTCAGGGGAGGTTGGCTATTAGGAACAGGTTTTTCACCCAGAGGGTGGTTGGGCACTGGAACAGGCTTCCCACCACCTAAATTCATGCTTGGATAGGAAGTCGGGATGCAGACATAGTAAAACTCTGCATCTAAGAATATGGAGCTGCTCTATGGCCCAGTATTCTTAGAATCATATGGATCATCGAGTCCAACTCCTGACCCTGCACGGGACACCGCAAGAGTCACACCATGTGCCTGACAGCATTATCCAAATGCTTCTTGAACTCAGAGAGGCATGGTGCTGTGACCACTTCCCTAGAAAGCCTGTTCTAGTATTATTGATATGGACATTGAAAACAGCTGGTTTTTAAAAAATTTTAATGTAATTCTTATTAACTGTTAATTTTTTAAACAAATCATTAAGAAAATCACATCCACCTTATGGTAAATATGGGTGCTGAAAGCAATGAGGCTGCCACCACACAGAGTTTGATTTCAGGATATGTCTGCCAGTCTTTCCAGCTTTCCCCTTTTATTAGGGTTCCTTCGCAAACAGCATCTGGTATTTGTCTTTTAGTTAACTGGAATTCCCAGGATCGTCCTAAACCAGTGCCTTGATCACACACATTCACCTCACGTTATGTGGTGGCTGTGTTCAGCCACGAGAGAAAAACACACGCTATTATGCAGATCATTCAAAGTAGTTTTTGCTATGAGAACACAGCACTCTATCAAAAACACTAGTCAAGGCCAAAACACTCCTTTTTGATCCTAATTAACTGAATGCAGGTGCTGCTGGCTCAACTCGTTCCCACACCAACTGAAGATTCAGAGTATACTCAGTGATCACTGATTTTATACATAAATCTTTTTCTGAATTTCCCAAAATCCTAGTTCTTTGAAAATCATACTGAAACAATGAAACAAAGTCAGGGTTTTCTAGGGGGTCTTTTTTTTTCCCAGAAATTTCTAAAACTGGACTTTTTTCATAATGCATGCTCCATTCATCTTTTTTATTTCATAATAATTTTCATGGCCAACTAGCATCAGATCAATTCCTTGGATATTATTGGCAAATCCAACAGTATTTGTGTCATAAATTGTGATAATCTTGACCTCTTCTGCTTTAAATTTTGAAGACGTTGTTATCTTCTGTATAGTCTAGGTTAATTTGTTGATAGTAGCAATGGTATCTAGGCTGTTAACCCAGTTTTTATACATTCCATTTAAGTTTAGGTTTGAGTTTGGTTTTTTTACTGTACTGTGACCTGTTAATTTCCAAGTTAATCTGTCACATACATTGCAGAGGAAGCCTGGAAAACTGCCTTTGTACATATTCTTCCAGAATATCCAGTGCTAAAACCAAATTCATCGTTTCCTAAACTTAAGTTCAAGGAAGTAATTTTTTTCAATGTAAAAAAAATAACTGCATATTTTAGCCAAATGCTGGTTTTACGTATCATATACCATGAGACAGAGATTGAGGAAACATACATTTTGCCTTGTCTTTAAAATAAACCTGATAGGGAGGTTTATTCAATCTATCCATTACAGCAAGAAAAGCTGGATCAATTTAATATATTTTTTGTATCTATTCTAAATACATAACTGCATCCATTTCAATT